GGACTATGGGGAACCTACATATGAAATTTGAGAAACATCCATCTTGTACTTCTCGAAAAACAGCCATAAAAATCTTTTTATGTCAAAACCCAAGATGCTTTTGGGAATGGTTTATTCACATGTGTATCAGGTATATTTAAGTGTCACACATGTATATCAGGTATGTTTAAGTGTCACACCTGTGTCAGGTATATTTAAGTTTAACATGTGTGTATCAGGTATATTTAAGTGTCACACATGTGTATCAGGTATATTTAAGTGTCACACCTGTGTCCGGTATATTTAAGTGTCACACATGTGTGTCAGGTATGTTTAAGTGTCACACATGTGTCAGGTATATTTAAGTGTCACACCTGTGTATCAGGTATGTTTAAGTGTCACACATGTGTTAGGTATATTTAAGTGTCACACCTGTGTATCAGGTATGTTTAAGTGTCACACATGTGTAGGTATACTTAAGTGTCACATGTGTGTATCAGATATATTTAAGTGACACACATTTGTATCAGGTATATCTAAGTGTCACACATGTGTATCAGGTATCTTTAAGTGTCACATGTGTGTATCACGAGATGGTTTCCATGATGAACAACCTAATCTGTAACAACATCTAAGCTGTTTGATTTTTAAAAATGATAGTGTTTCCCTTTAATATCATGTGCCAAGGTTGTGCTACATAGATGGACAGACAGGCAAGGAGATTCCTAAAACATTACCTCAGGTCCAACATAAGGGGCTTATTACAGGCACCCAAGAAGCCAAAACATTACCTCAGGTCGACTGTAAGGGGCTTATTACAGGTACCCAAGAAACCAAAACATTACCTCAGGTCCAATGTAAGGGGCTTATAACAGTTACCCAAGAAACCAAAACATTACCTCAGGTCCAATGTAAGGGGCTTATCACAGTTACCCAAGAAGGGGCTACAGACCAAAACATTACCTCAGGTCCAATGTAAGGGGCTTATAACAGTTACCCAAGAAACCAAAACATTACCTCAGGTCCAATGTAAGGGGCTTATCACAGTTACCCAAGAAACCAAAACATTACCTCAGGTCCAATGTAAGGGGCTTATAACAGTTACCCAAGAAACCAAAACATTACCTCAGGTCGACTGTAAGGGGCTTATTACAGGTACCCAAGAAACCAAAACATTACCTCAGGTCCAATGTAAGGGGCTTATAACAGTTACCCAAGAAACCAAAACATTACCTCAGGTCCAATGTAAGGGGCTTATCACAGTTACCCAAGAAACCAAAACATTACCTCAGGTCCAATGTAAGGGGCTTATAACAGTTACCCAAGAAACCAAAACATTACCTCAGGTCCAATGTAAGGGGCTTATCACAGTTACCCAAGAAACCAAAACATTACCTCAGGTCCAATGTAAGGGGCTTATAACAGTTACCCAAGAAACCAAAACATTACCTCAGGTCCAATGTAAGGGGCTTATTACAGGTACCCAAGAAACCAAAACATTACCTCAGGTCCAATGTAAGGGGCTTATTACAGGTACCCAAGAAACCAAAACATTACCTCAGGTTCAATGTAAGGGGCTTATCACAGGTACCCAAGAAACCAAAACATTACCTCAGGTTCAATGTAAGGGGCTTATTACAGGTACCCAAGAAACCAAAACATTACCTCAGGTTCAATGTAAGGGGCTTATTACAGGTACCCAAGAAACCAAAACATTACCTCAGGTTCAATGTAAGGGGCTTATTACAGGTACCCAAGAAACCAAAACATTACCTCAGGTTCAATGTAAGGGGCTTATTACAGGCACCCAAGAAGCCAAAACATTACCTCAGGTCCAACATCAGTGGCTTATTAAAGGACTCCAGAGGTCGTAACACTACTGCATGTTCACAGTAATGGGTTCTTACAGGACCCCAGGGGCAAAGACATTACCACAGGTTGAAAGTATGGGGCTTTTCATAGAATAAATTCAAAACATATCGCATTTGTTGGCACTGACACTACATCAGATGTATGTGAATTTCTTACGAAACAACTGACCAATTAATTATGGTTAATTGATAATACTGTGCTCATAAGCCTATATTACCTGTACTTATCTATGCCCATCATGGGTGAGAGGATAAATCTTTGCTACCTAAGAATATAGAAATTACAATACCCTGTCTATCCACCTGTTGCCTCTCAAATACTGGTAACTAGCCGCTAAGTTATATACTTGCTACAAAGTTCACTTTTCTAAAATAAAAAAATGTTCTGAATTATGAAAATTTGTAGTTTGATGTGTCATTCAACACCTTTAACCAGGGAACTTTTGACTGTAAATAGTTCTATAAAAATGTTCTCCCTTTGTGTTTTTATTAGTAAAACAAAGCACAAAGGGAAAAACATTTCCTTCTATATTATTTATCATTGATTCATTAAATATTCAATCCTGTCAAAAATTTGTTCCAACTTCCTGGAAAGCCACATATAACCTGATATCCATTGTTCTACCTTTTATTTATTCAAAAGTCTGTTAACACTTTATTTACGCTCCGAAACACACAGGGTTTTTTCCACGCTAAATCTGTATCATCTATTTTGTCATGTGAGGATCTATAAAATCATTCTACATACACCAGCATTCACTGTAGCTCTTATTGCCTGTAAAAATTATCAACCTGTAACTTGAAAAAGTAAATTGAATGGTTGTTATTCTTAACTGACTAACACATATTACATGATGTTGTATTTTTTTTTTATTTTTTGACTTAATATTGTAAAATGATGCAATTTTAGTGACTGTATTTAAACATTACTAGTATTGTCTATTTGTTGTTAGTTTCAGGATAACACCAAAGCTGTGATGACAGTCTGACTTATCAACATTCACTTGAAGCGAGACCATTTGATTCCAACAAAACATGAGGAAATTTAGGAAAATAGCATATATCATAACAGCATGTCTCCTGCTACAGATTATCACCATGACAACAACAGTTCACGGGGAGGAGAATACCCTTATCTTGGAACCTCGCCAGAAAATTGCAATAGAGGTCGGCAAATCAGGGGAGGTAACCTGTTCACTCCCAGAAGGAGCTAACCAAACGGACACAATTATGTGGTTAAATGAAAATGGGACCAATGTGAATGACCTAAACAGGACACATATAAGAGAAGAGACAGGTGTGCTAAAATTGGAGAAGCTTGTTCTATCTGACACTGGAGACTTCATATGTACCACCAAGTCAAGGGCGTATAACTCTACAATGAATGTCACAGTGTATAACATGCCCGATTATTTCACTGAGGGCATGGTGATCATAGGAATTAACATAGGCCTCATCCTCATTTTCATCGGCTGTGCCACACATCGACTGATTCAAAATAAAAGGAACAAAATGAAAGCCAAAAAAACAAACAGACGAGTGTGAAATTAGAGGGATATTTCAGACTTAAGCTAATTTTATATATTAAACAGATGTGGTAGAATCCTGTATAAAAGGTAACTTAGATATCAAAGCACAAAACAAGTATAGTATACTTTATACATATTATTTCATGTCAATTGACAAAGATGAAAATTTCATACAATCTGGTCTTTTATTCATATAATGAAATTTTAAAGCAGTATTCAGTGTGATTTATTAATATTCAGCGTGATTTTATGTCTGAAATATGAGAAAACTGTTTACCATACTTACATAACAATTACATATATGTAATGTATAACACGTAATCTTTCCATTCAAGGCCAATGATATTAAAGCAATGACAAAAGGAGATCCGTACAACAGATGTATATGATAACTTATGATTGTATCATATGGTTGTGCAGTAGAGCATAGAAGTCACGGGCTGATGACTTAGTATGTGTTTATCACTGTGTACCTTTATGTACGTTTCATGCGATAGAAATTATCATAACCTTCACTACTTCATTGACAGTAAAAGTATAGATTTTTCACATTCAGACCTTAATATAAAAAATAATTATGTTTATCGAAAGACATTTCAATAAACATTTAATTTATTTTAATACATTGACTTTTTAGTCTTTATTTACTATACAATTACCCATAGACAGGGAAGTTTAAGCAGATACATCATCATAACAGACTTCATCATAGAACCTCTTCTGGTGGGTCAGGATTAACAGCAACAGCTTATATAAACAGAATCAGCTAATGTCATTTAAAGTGAACCACAAAATATGATGACTATCACAAATTATTTGTAACTGTATTCAGTTCCTGAATTCTTGTCAATTATTATAATAAATGATTTATTTATCAATCTGGTAAAAATGAGTTTTCATTTAACTTTGAGCAGACACTTCAAATTATTATAAGTAGGGTTGTTAAACGTTCATCGACAGTCAATAAAGAGTTATTTCCCTTGTATAGTTACAATATACCAAAAGGAGGTATCCCCAGCCAAACGTCTATTAAGCTAACTTATACTATAATGCCCTACAAACAAGAGGGGGATGGTCCTTAATAGTGATCTGACAATTAACGAATGGATGGACAAACCACAGAATTCGCTGATGGTGGTCTGACAAATCCAATGAATAGAAGGTTCTGTGTAGTTGCACATTCATGTTACAAAATAACAACTGAGGTAACTGTGTTGAAGTTTTGATCAGACTGAAAAGTAACATCAAATCATCTCTTTCTTTTCATTAAAAAAATCAAACTCTAAAATGAATGAAACATGACAAGAAGTTTAGACAAATTGTTCTGGTTGAGTTTTGTTGAATTTTGGACCAAAGCGTAAAAATAAGATTTGGTCAGGACAATCTCAGGATCACTTCATGCATGTCTGATATTATTGCCACTCCCTGATAATGCTTCTGGCCAAATTTGGTTGAAATACGACTAGGCGTTAAGCAGGAGTAGTGTTTTAAAGAAAAAGCCTATGGACAGTGAACGGCGCAGGACGACCGATGACACACGATAGCAATAGGTCATATTGACCCTTTTGGTCTGATGACCTAAAACGTCTCGCTTCATGGTGTAAGAAATTCAATACTTTACCTTTCAGTTTAGATACCAGCTGCTCTTGTTTATTGAAGCTACAACAAAAAAGAAAAATGTTACAATCAGTGTACATTAATTTGTGTGTCAGTAACAACTCCATGTGAATCAATGATTCAAGTTCAATTCAAGTACATATATGTAACCATAACACTCACATGATGCCAACATGGTACATCTGTAATAGGAGGCACACACAACTAATTTGAAACAAGAGGCCCATGGGCCTTAACAGTCATATGACTATACAGACCTATTATATGAAATAGGGAAAATAGGCCGAAGATAAATTGCTCAACTACACTACAGCTAACAAAGAAGACATTGTTGATTCATCAAGATATTTTCTGTAAAGTTGAAATCATATTCTTAATACATGCACTACACAATTGCCATTACTCCGGACAAATTGTTAGTTGAAAAAGCAACCTATAGGCTCATTATCACAACCTTCAGTCTTTTGGTTATTGAGAAGACGTTGCTTAAGCATTTCAACACATTTTACCCCTGTGACCTTGAAGATTTGTCCTATATCAGCACCCTGGGATTACTGGTTATTGAGAAGAAGTCATTTAAAGATTTGAACATATTTGATCCCTCTGACCTTTCAAGCGCATCAAGGTCATTCCTATTAACCAAGGGTCAAATCAACTTTCTGAATTTAAGAAATTCCCCACTCTCCATGATGTTTCAGAATAAATTCGGTTGAAATCCATTCAAGCATTAAGAAAGAGATGCATTTGAAAGCAAAATCTAGTTCAACTACCCCTTTTAGGGCCCCGCCCCCAAGTCCCTAGGTGTTGAATCAACTTTCTGAATTTATTGAAATTCAAAGTATTAAATAGCTTTTTCAAATCTTCACATTATCATTTCATCTGAAATTCTTGACCTTTCTAAGTTTGTAAAAAAAAACAGGTTACCTGGCCTGAAGTTCCTTTAGGCGTTTATAGTTGTTCTTTCTCTCCTCCTCTGTCCTATCTTTTTCACTGCTTGTTGACTTGGCCAGAGACTCATACTGTTTCCTCACAGCCTGTAAGACCACAAACAACACACTTATCTAAGTCTTATGCTAAAATTCAGGGATACAGACATTGTAAGGTCTGTCTCATATGTACAGTATAGCTGAAACGACATCCCTACACACAGTCAAAGTCTATTATCCTTGAAGGAAGGCAGTACAAAGTCCATTGTCCTATATCATGAACAGTACAAAGTCCATTGTCCTATACCATGAAGGGTACAAAGTCCATTGTCCTATACCATGAACAGTACAACGTCCATTGTCCTATACCATGAACAGTACAAAGTCCATTGTCCTACATGAAGTCCATTGTCCTATACCATGAACCAGTACAAAGTCCATGAACAGTACAAAGTCCATTGTCCTATACTATGGAGAGTACAAAGTCCAGTGTCCTATACCATGAACAGTACAAAGTCCATTGTCCTATACCATGAACAGTACAAAGTCCATTGTCCTATACTTTGGAGAGTATAAAGTCCAGTGTCCTATACCATGATCAGTACAAAGTCCATTGTCCTATACCATGAACAGTACAAAGTCCCAGTGTCCTATACCATGGAGAGTACAAAGTCCAGTGTCCTATACCATGAACAGTACAAAGTCCACAAAGTCCATTGTCCTATACCATGAACAGTACAAAGTCCATACAAAGTCCAGTGTCCTATACCATGAACAGTACAAAGTCCATTGTCCTATACTATGGAGAGTACAAAGTCCAGTGTCCTATACCATGAACAGTACAAAGTCCATTGTCCTATACCATGAACAGTACAAAGTCCATTGTCCTATACTATGGAGAGTACAAAGTCCAGTGTCCTATACCATGAACAGTACAAAGTCCATTGTCCTATACATGAACAATTGTCCTATACCATGTACAAAGTCCATTGTCCTATACTATGGAGAGTACAAAGTCCAGTGTCCTATACCATGAACAGTACAAAGTCCATTGTCCTATACCATGAACAGTACAAAGTCCATTGTCCTATACTATGGAGAGTACAAAGTCCAGTGTCCTATACCATGAACAGTACAAAGTCCATTGTCCTATACCATGAACAGTACAAAGTCCGTTGTCCTATACTATGGAGAGTACAAAGTCCAGTGTCCTATACCATGAACAGTACAAAGTCCATTGTCCTATACCATGAACAGTACAAAGTCCATTGTCTTATACCATGCACAGTACAAAGTCCATTGTCCTATACCATGAACAGTACAAAGTCCACTGTCCTATACTATGGAGAGTACAAAGTCCAGTGTCCTATACCATGAACAGTACAAAATCCATTGTCCTATACTATGGAGAGTACAAAGTCCAGTGTCCTATACCATGAACAGTACAAAGTCCATTGTCCTATACCATGAACAGTACAAAGTCCATTGTCCTATACTATGGAGAGTACAAAGTCCAGTGTCCTATACCATGAACAGTACAAAGTCCATTGTCCTATACCATGAACAGTACAACGTCCATTGTCCTATACCATGAACAGTACAAAGTCCATTGTCCTATACCATGAACAGTACAACGTCCATTGTCCTATACCATGAACAGTACAAAGTCCATTGTCCTATACCATGAACAGTACAAAGTCCATTGTCCTATACTATGGAGAGTACAAAGTCCAGTGTCCTATACCATGAACAGTACAAAGTCCGTTGTCTTATACCATGAACAGTACAAAGTCCATTGTCCTATACTATGGAGAGTACAAAGTCCAGTGTCCTATACCATGAACAGTACAAAGTCCATTGTCCTATACTATGGAGAGTACAAAGTCCAGTGTCCTATACCATGAACAGTACAAAGTCCATTGTCCTATACCATGAACAGTACAAAGTCCATTGTCCTATACTATGGAGAGTACAAAGTCCAGTGTCCTATACCATGAACAGTACAAAGTCCATTGTCCTATACTATGGAGAGTACAAAGTCCAGTGTCCTATACCATGAACAGTACAAAGTCCATTGTCCTATACCATGAACAGTACAAAGTCCATTGTCCTATACTATGGAGAGTACAAAGTCCAGTGTCCTATACCATGAACAGTACAAAGTCCATTGTCCTATACCATGAACAGTACAAAGTCCATTGTCTTATACCATGCACAGTACAAAGTCCATTGTCCTATACCATGAACAGTACAAAGTCCACTGTCCTATACTATGGAGAGTACAAAGTCCAGTGTCCTATACCATGAACAGTACAAAGTCCACTGTCCTATACTATGGAGAGTACAACGTCCATTGTCCTATACCATGAACAGTACAAAGTCCATTGTCCTATACTATGGAGAGTACAAAGTCCAGTGTCCTATACCATGAACAGTACAAAGTCCATTGTCTTATACCATGAACAGTACAAAGTCCATTGTCCTATACTATGGAGAGTACAAAGTCCAGTGTCCTATACCATGAATAGTACAAAGTCCATTGTCCTATACTATGGAGAGTACAAAGTCCAGTGTCCTATACCATGAACAGTACAAAGTCCATTGTCCTATACCATGAACAGTACAAAGTCCATTGTCCTATACTATGGAGAGTACAAAGTCCAGTGTCCTATACCATGAACAGTACAAAGTCCATTGTCCTATACCATGAACAGTACAAAGTCCATTGTCCTATACTATGGAGAGTACAAAGTCCAGTGTCCTATACCATGAACAGTACAAAGTCCATTGTCCTATACCATGAACAGTACAAAGTCTGTTGTCCTATACTATGGAGAGTACAAAGTCCAGTGTCCTATACCATGAACAGTACAAAGTCCATTGTCCTATACCATGAACAGTACAAAGTCCATTGTCCTATACTATGGAGAGTACAAAGTCCAGTGTCCTATACCATGAACAGTACAAAGTCCATTGTCCTATACCATGAACAGTACAAAGTCCATTGTCCTATACTATGGAGAGTACAAAGTCCAGTGTCCTATACCATGAACAGTACAAAGTCCATTGTCCTATACCATGAACAGTACAAAGTCCGTTGTCCTATACTATGGAGAGTACAAAGTCCAGTGTCCTATACCATGAACAGTACAAAGTCCATTGTCCTATACCATGAACAGTACAAAGTCCATTGTCTTATACCATGCACAGTACAAAGTCCATTGTCCTATACCATGAACAGTACAAAGTCCACTGTCCTATACTATGGAGAGTACAAAGTCCAGTGTCCTATACCATGAACAGTACAAAATCCATTGTCCTATACTATGGAGAGTACAAAGTCCAGTGTCCTATACCATGAACAGTACAAAGTCCATTGTCCTATACCATGAACAGTACAAAGTCCATTGTCCTATACTATGGAGAGTACAAAGTCCAGTGTCCTATACCATGAACAGTACAAAGTCCATTGTCCTATACCATGAACAGTACAACGTCCATTGTCCTATACCATGAACAGTACAAAGTCCATTGTCCTATACCATGAACAGTACAACGTCCATTGTCCTATACCATGAACAGTACAAAGTCCATTGTCCTATACCATGAACAGTACAAAGTCCATTGTCCTATACTATGGAGAGTACAAAGTCCAGTGTCCTATACCATGAACAGTACAAAGTCCATTGTCTTATACCATGAACAGTACAAAGTCCATTGTCCTATACTATGGAGAGTACAAAGTCCAGTGTCCTATACCATGAACAGTACAAAGTCCATTGTCCTATACTATGGAGAGTACAAAGTCCAGTGTCCTATACCATGAACAGTACAAAGTCCATTGTCCTATACCATGAACAGTACAAAGTCCATTGTCCTATACTATGGAGAGTACAAAGTCCAGTGTCCTATACCATGAACAGTACAAAGTCCATTGTCCTATACTATGGAGAGTACAAAGTCCAGTGTCCTATACCATGAACAGTACAAAGTCCATTGTCCTATACCATGAACAGTACAAAGTCCATTGTCCTATACTATGGAGAGTACAAAGTCCAGTGTCCTATACCATGAACAGTACAAAGTCCATTGTCCTATACCATGAACAGTACAAAGTCCATTGTCCTATACTATGGAGAGTACAAAGTCCATTGTCCTATACCATGAACAGTACAAAGTCCGTTGTCCTATACTATGGAGAGTACAAAGTCCAGTGTCCTATACCATGAACAGTACAAAGTCCATTGTCCTATACCATGAACAGTACAAAGTCCATTGTCTTATACCATGCACAGTACAAAGTCCATTGTCCTATACCATGAACAGTACAAAGTCCACTGTCCTATACTATGGAGAGTACAAAGTCCAGTGTCCTATACCATGAAGGGTACAAAGTCCATTGTCCTATACCATGAACAGTACAACGTCCATTGTCCTATACTATGGAGAGTACAAAGTCCAGTGTCCTATACCATGAACAGTACAAAGTCCATTGTCCTATACCATGAACAGTACAAAGTCCATTGTCCTATACTATGGAGAGTACAAAGTCCAGTGTCCTATACCATGAACAGTACAAAGTCCATTGTCCTATACCATGAACAGTACAAAGTCCATTGTCTTATACCATGCACAGTACAAAGTCCATTGTCCTATACCATGAACAGTACGAAGTCCACTGTCCTATACTATGGAGAGTACAAAGTCCAGTGTCCTATACCATGAAGGGTACAAAGTCCATTGTCCTATACCATGAACAGTACAACGTCCATTGTCCTATACCATGAACAGTACAAAGTCCATTGTCCTATACTATGGAGAGTACAAAGTCCAGTGTCCTATACCATGAACAGTACAAAGTCCATTGTCTTATACCATGAACAGTACAAAGTCCATTGTCTTATACTATGGAGAGTACAAAGTCCAGTGTCCTATACCATGAATAGTACAAAGTCCATTGTCCTATACTATGGAGAGTACAAAGTCCAGTGTCCTATACCATGAACAGTACAAAGTCCATTGTCCTATACCATGAACAGTACAAAGTCCATTGTCCTATACTATGGAGAGTACAAAGTCCAGTGTCCTATACCATGAACAGTACAAAGTCCATTGTCCTATACCATGAACAGTACAAAGTCCATTGTCTTATACCATGCACAGTACAAAGTCCATTGTCCTATACCATGAACAGTACAAAGTCCATTGTCCTATACCATGAACAGTACAAAGTCCATTGTCTTATACCATGCACAGTACAAAGTCCATTGTCCTATACCATGAACAGTACAAAGTCCATTGTCCTATACTATGGAGAGTACAAAGTCCAGTGTCCTATACCATGAACAGTACAAAGTCCATTGTCTTATACCATGAACAGTACAAAGTCCATTGTCCTATACTATGGAGAGTACAAAGTCAAGTGTCCTATACCATGAACAGTACAAAGTCCATTGTCCTATACTATGGAGAGTACAAAGTCCAGTGTCCTATACCATGAACAGTACAAAGTCCATTGTCCTATACCATGAACAGTACAAAGTCCATTGTCCTATACTATGGAGAGTACAAAGTCCAGTGTCCTATACCATGAACAGTACAAAGTCCATTGTCCTATACCATGAACAGTACAAAGTCCATTGTCCTATACTATGGAGAGTACAAAGTCCAGTGTCCTATACCATGAACAGTACAAAGTCCATTGTCCTATACCATGAACAGTACAAAGTCCATTGTCCTATACTATGGAGAGTACAAAGTCCATTGTCCTATACCATGAACAGTACAAAGTCCATTGTCCTATACTATGGAGAGTACAAAGTCCAGTGTCCTATACCATGAACAGTACAAAGTCCATTGTCCTATACCATGAACAGTACAAAGTCCATTGTCCTATACCATGAAGGGTACAAAGTCAATTGTCCTATACTATGAAGAGTGCAAAGGCCAATGTCCTAGAATGCAGACAGTACAAAGTCTTTGATCCTAGGACATCAACAGTAAAACATCCATTGCCTTTGAACCACATAAATAGTTCATCTTCCTTGGAAACTGACAGCACAAGTCCATACTCTTAGGACACAGCACAAAGTATATATTTAGTATATTATATTGTCACCATGGATATAGACAATGTGAGATAGATCATTGACGTAAATGTATATAGTTACCATGGATGCTGTCAGTTTATCTTGCAGAGTTTGAATCTCCATCATTTTCTGTTTCACTTCAATCTCAAGGGCATGCTTGGCCTAAAAAAAAAGATTTAAGGGGTAAAGAAATTAAACACTGCAGTTTTTGGTTCATCATCAAAATCAAGACTGGTAAGACAGATATCCTTATTTATATGAAATTCAAGTGAAACATACACACAATGTTAGTGCTTGATATGCAGCAGTGATAGATAGGATCATTTCAAAAGTAAGGCGAACAAAATTTAATCATTTAATTTGTAAATGCAGCAATCAGTAACTGAGATCCAAGTGAATTAGGAATAATTTTAGCCCATTCCCACCACTACACAAACCAAATACACCTAGGATGTGATTAAGAACAGACTGTATGAAATCTCCATAAAACGTTGACTCCAACACATTTTCAGCACTTGTTGGTTTACCTTTTTCAGTGGCTCAATTTGCTGCAGTGAACTACTCAGCTGTACATTCAGTGTACTGGACTCTCTAAAAAGGAATCGTGTGGCACAAAATGAAATGATAAATTAACTTTTCAATTACTTATCTAAAACGTTCACCTCTAGCATTAATACAGTTATCGACAGTTACACACATTGATCATAATCAACCCCTCAAGATAGCGAACAACATTTCTGCATAAGAGTAATTTTAGGTATCCATTTCAAAACTTCATTTAGTGTCATTTCCTTTTACAAAAGTTGCTAGGTTGTAAACAAACAGAAACATGAGGACACATTAGATATCTGCCACTTAAACCAGTTATCTGTTTCTAATACCACAGTTATCTGCCCCTTAAACAAGAGTTATCTGCCCCTTAAATCAAAAGTACATTGTATCTGTCCCTTCAACCAACATAACAACTGGATCAGACTCAACAGAATGGTAGAAGATGAAAAATATTTTTGTAGCAACATCAAGACATACTCTTTAACTTATATTTATCAGAAACTGCTGAACGTGTTAATGCTATTCCAAACTTCCATTCCCAGTTATCTTCCAAGCTGGTTTACATAACATTATTTTTTCATAATCTGAGATTTATTTACAATTATTACCTTAAAATTTATCTAGCAATATCTCAAGTAAATGTTCAATTCAATAGGATCTACAAGTAATATTTACATACCTCTCACCATACTCCAAATATTTACATACCTCTGACCTTGATCCAAATAATTACATACCTCTGACCTTTATCCAAATATTTACATACTCTGACCTTGCTCTATATATTTACATGCCTCTGACCTTGCTCTAAATATTTACATACCTTTGACCTTGCTCCAAGTAATTACATACCTCTGACCTTTATCTGAATATTTACATAGCTTTGACCTTATTTAAAATATTTACATACCTCTGACCTTGCTCTAAATATTTACATACCTCTGACCTTTATCCAAATATTTACATACCTCAGACATTCATCCAAATATTTACATACTCTGACCTTGCTCTATATATTTACATGTCTCTGACCTTGCTACAAATATTTACATACCTCTGAACTTGTTCCAATTTCTTTGTCAGGTCTTCCATTGTTTTGCTTTGTGTATCATGATGTAGGTATCAGTCAAGTTAAATAAGTTCAATCTTTACAACAAAATCATGAATGTTTCTTTATAACAAATGTCTTTGAATGGTTAAAATGAATTCACTTCTTTTGATGTCAACAGACTAATTCATTTCAAGCACCAAAAGTGTACTGACTAAACAAACAACAGAACTAAAAACAACAACAATACAAAACTACAAAAAAAAAACCTACCGACTCAAGGACTTTAGTCGCTGCCGGAGTTTTATAAAAACTAACGTTTTAGTTAATATATATACATAACATTTAATATATGTCAAAGAACTCATGTTATTTACAGAGGAACATAACTTCCCTGTACATGTGTATGTAATGCAAAAGTAAAAGAACTTTCCATGTTAATAATTCTAATTAAGTTTAAATTATTTCAAATGGAAACAAATTATACTTAAAACTTTAAAGTTCCTATATAAACTTATAGTAAATATTGCCCTTCCCCTTAAATAAATGTGTGATGACAGTGACTTCCCTTTCTTATTAAGATTTAAACATTTCTCTGAAGGAATAGCCATAATAATAATTCACTGTCAAATCCAGTACTTCTCAAGAAATAGCGATGACAAACTTTCTTTGTTGAAATCGGAGATAGTAAACTGATGACCAATTATTTTCAGTCCCAAAATTTAATGGGCACAACTTAAAACCAAGGGGAATCTACCTATGAAATTTGTGAAAGATCCAACCAGCTCTTATCAAGAAATTACAATAACGAAAGTTGTCTATAGATGGATGACAGATGTAGATTGCTTTGAACAAAAGTAAGCTTGAATTTTATAATGACAAATGTGACTGTCTTGCTTTTAAATTTGTCTGAAACTCAATATCATTGGTGCTATATTTACATGGTTACCTGAACAATATAACATGCCATTAACACAAATGCATTTAATTTAAATAAAAATTAAGCCGTCTCAACAAAATTCTATGAATAATTTATCCAATGGATAAATGCTTGTAAGCGTAGGACCTAAATTAAGCCCTAAGTACATTCATCTTCCAAGGATATCGACTTCATAATTGAACATAGGTTATGATATATCTATCTAATCCCCAAAAAGACATTATCTTTGTGAAATCAACTTCATGATTCACACAAACTAAATTCCTATTACTAACTTATTTTCTTGTGAGATTAACTTCATAATTCAACACAGGTTATTGTACAAAGACATTTATCTAAAGACCACAATAAACCTTACAAGGTTCAAATATATAAATGTCACAATAACTAAAAATCATCTTCCTCTGTGTCCATCTTCACAGCTCATCAACGGTAATCAATAAACTTAAGAAAAAATCCTAACAAAAACAAGAGTTACCTCTCTTGTATCATTGTGACTACTTGATTCCACTCTACTCGAGTACTTTGAAAAAAAAGCAACTCATTTTCATACTGAATGTCACATGTCACGACAGTAGCAATAAACAACAAACAAATATGACAACATTGTTTCTTATCTAGAATAATGTAATACTGCCGTGCGGAAAAGTTCAACACATATCTTCCGAAAGTAACTATAATGAACGATTCTACCAAGGCTTGGCAACTAAACCATTCAGTAAAGGTAACATTTTGACATATTGTTATATAACATATTTTACAAAAAATATTTACCAGGTTATCCACAGTCATAACACCATATTATGGTGAAAGTATCCCAACTTCATAAACAAATTGTTTTGAGTGACTAAGTTCAAAACAAGAGGTCAAGGTCAAACACCATTGTTACAAATTCATGATGTGTTGTAAACTTTAAGACACTTATCAAAGCATTGAAGCACCTAGTGCATGCAGAAAGTAAAAGATGATATGTAAAGGGAATTAACTTGTAACAGAATTTGATAAAAAGGATATCTTCACATTTGGCCTTATATTTCTTGATCAACAAGCTGAAACAAAGACAAAAGACTTTAAAGAATTTATAAAAGATCAATTATAGGTAAGTAAATGATTCTATAAACATGTAAATATAAAGAAAATATTTGACCTACAATTTGAATTACAGATAATTAAAAGATACAAAGTGAACCAAAAGAAGATACTTAATTCATTTTGATAAATATGTTTCCAAAATTCTATCTGATTGGTAATAGAAGCTCAAAAGAGAAAGAAAAATCTTAACTTACTCAGTAGAAATCACCTTCTTTTTTAATGTGCTATAATTCAGGGAGTGCTCCTGCTGCAGTTTTTGGAGTTCCTGAAAACAAACAAGAGCCCTATGTACCTCAACTGTCATCTGATTATACACATGATGAAGAACTTAATATGATATATATGTAATAGCAGTTGTACATGTTCCAGGGGTGCAGAGTGCAAAAGTGAACATAAACCCTGGAGTATCGAGGATGATTTCAATAGTAAAGGCATAGAAGAGGTTCTTGTCATCTGACAACAAGGTATGGATTTATTTATTGTTACTTTACATCCTATCAACAGCCAGGGTTATTTAAGGACGTGCCAGATTTGGATGGTTAAGGAAAGCCATTGACCAGCGGCCAGTACCTGGCGACTGCCCCACGTAGGTCTAGAACCCCCAACCCAGAGGTGGAGGGCTAGTTATAAAGATGGTCAGACGCCTTAGCCACTCAACCTCCACACCCCCTATCTGACTACAAATATAGAAGACCTACCAGCAGTAGTAGAAAACTGAACAGTTATTAAATTATTAAACCAGTTCAGAATATTTTAGCAGAAAAGACAAAAGAGCACTGTTCATTTCAGCTGCTTAACATTACAACAGAATATCAGATCAATGGGACCAGTGAAACTTGAGAAGCTTCAAGATGACATGGCAGTGATATTGGATTTCAGACTGACTTGAAAAATAAGAACATTTGTATTGGTCACGACTGGACAATCTCAGGAACTTTTCAGACAAGTGTTGGTCACAACTGGACAATCTCAGGAACTTTTCAGACAAGTTTTGGTCACGACTGGACAATCTCAGGAACATTTCAGACAAGTTTTAACTAAATCCCACTGGTGCAGCTTTTGAAGAAGTTTAAAATGTAAAAACGTTTATGCACAGTGCATGGCAACAAACAATGCATTCTAAGGTCACCTAAAAATTCAATATTTTAGATATTTAACTCATTTAAGAAATAATAGTTGTTTCTGATCTGAGGTCAGCACAAAAGTAAAGAATGACCAGAGTATGGTTCATTTCATCATTTCTAAAGCCACTCAGTATCAGATTGGAAGGAAAAGAATACGGAATAAGGTTGGTTTAAAAAATTATCCTATTATGCTTCTTTAATTATAATTTTATGCCAAGAATGAATTGCAAATGCCCCCAAATAAGAAGTTCAAGTGACTGGAAATGTAGGGTTCAGACAAAGTTTTTTTTAATGTAGGTCAAGGTCAAAATAATCCGAATGACTTTTAATTAATTTGATACATGAAATATTCCCTTACCATGGTGTACCCAAAACCCAAGTATGAAGTTCCAGTGACAAGCAAACACAATCTTAATTACAACGAGTACTTTCTCCAAACTTGAAAAGATGGTCATCTTTTTGTTATTATGATTATGTTAGCTGATTTCTGAAGCAATCAGCTTTCACTAAAACAAACAGGAACTTAAAGATGCATCTATACAATTGCATTCCTATCTGGGGCTTTCCAGTCAATCAATACCTGCTTGAGGACCTTGCATTGATCACACCAGATGTTTTCATTCTCTGTTGATGCGACAAATTCAAAGTCCAGACCCTGAAGGTCAACGAGTGCATCATTTGTTTGTCCTCCAGTGTCTTTGGGGACAGAACCCCCACTCTCGGCATCCATTCTCTCTTCCTGTCCTGCTCTTCATGCACTGACAACATCAGCTTAAATCTACATACTGAAACATAAATAGGAGAATATCTTTACCATATAATATGTATTCTGGACTTATCTGCTGGAGACCTGTTTTCTGTCTCTTGACACTAACTCACTTGCTCCACTTGATAAAGACCTCACGCTCTTCCTTTATAAACATGTAAGTTTTGGTATGAACCCTCTCAGCATTATAACTATTTGTTTTGTTGTAATTGTAAGATATACATTAGACATGTCATTTCATCCTTTACTCTGTTGGCTGGCATAGCATTCAGTATATACTGTGTGAACAAATATTTTTGCAGGGAATTCATTTTACTTGAATTGTAAGTACTGTAAATGCACAAATTTAAAAGTCCAAAAAAGGACAAACAATTAAAATTGATACAGATAATAATACTAGTGGATTTTTTAGCAGGATGTAACCACGAAATCAAATGTAAAATGAAAATGCTAATTTTGTTAAGCCACAAAATTTGAGCCCCGTGAAAATATACCCAATCCCATTATAACAGTATAGATGCATGCGTAGTGGTGAGAATACAACTGAAAAATCCTGCAGTATTGTCATGTCACAAAAGTTTTGTTAGTCATTGCAATGTATAAGATACAGTTCCCTTTACTCCATTGTATAAGATGAAGGTTTTACTAAATATAATCAAATACCCCACCAATACTACCCAAAATTATGTTGGTAATGCATGTATATATTTAAATAAGAAAGTATTTTCTAAACAAAATTTCAGTGAGTTTCAATTGCAAGATGGTCTCCTAACAAATATTCCATGAAATCCTGTTGGATTTCCAATAGGTCACTTGCATATCACCTACAATTACATTCATAAAATACTTTGTTTAAACTATATGCATTATTGCAGTAATTGTGACAGTATGAGATAACATTCAGCGAGTTTTCATCCCTTGAAAAAAGGATTTTTTTTTGGGGGGGGGGGGGCTTTTACAGCAGTTGGAATGCTAGATGATGGCTGTGTTTAGAGCATCTGACTGGAGGTACTAATCTTTTATTTATCACAGCAATATTATCATTGACACTACTGAAACCCATGGTTAGACATGTATCTGTATACATCTGTATTGAGTGGGATTAAAGTTGTAAATGGTGCAACATCTGATGAACACTAGATGTACAATGGTTGTACCTCTGCTTGTTGAGCAAATAATGCACTGTACTGTGCTGTACCATTTCAATCTTGTCAAACTGGATATCAACAAAATCTATCTTTCTCCTTCAACTAAAAACTATTTCAAACAAGACAGGGAAGACAGGGCCAATATTCTCTTAGGGTTTTTGGTTTTATGCAATCTCGGCCTGTAAATTTGTGTGGATTAAGGCCTTGTAATAGTTTTAGTATAACCCCCTCCCTCTCCCCCTCACACACACACACACACACACACACACACAGTTATAGTATTATCAGGCATCTTAGGATAAACTTTGGTGAAAGTTTGTACCTATCTAGGAATTGCAAGCCAGCTATATTCCCAGATAGAGTGACTAATTGTGCATTTATGACCAGGGCCTGAGTTTTGCCAAGGAGACGGGTACAAATTGCCTTCTTTTCACTGAAAGAATATGCCACAGTAATGAGTACAATTAAATCATAGATATGACCAGAGACGTATATGTGTTATATATGTCTCTGATATCACCAATCACATTTCTTACCAGAATATTTTCCGTAATTTTCAGGAATGTCAGGAGAACACATATTTTCAATATAGTTCCAAAAAGATGTACTTGGGTTTTTTCTGTAGATGTTTAAGGTCCTAAAATCTACTTTTCGTTTGAAGACCCATATTTACAAAAAAACTTTCTGTGAAAGTCCTAAAGTGTGTTTTGTATGTCAGGAGTGAGCCGTGGAATGAATAGTTCCACAATGTTTACCTCCCATGTGCATTCTTTGTTAGAAAATATAGTATTATACATTGTGGAGAGTTCAGATTTTTGATAGTGTTTCGTTTTTTCGGTTTTGGTTGGTTTTGGTTTGTTGTTTGAGTGGTACATATCTAGGTTTCTGGTGCCATTTAAATGTAGTGAAGAAATTTTATCGGTCTGATCAGTTTTTTTTTTACTAGAGTTGACCGATCATGAAATAAAAACAGTTCTCGGGCCTAACATTATTATTTCTCTTTCTAACGAACCTTGAGATTGTTTTTTTAGTGCGTGTATAATTATAGCTTACGCTTCTGTTATCATAACTTATGATTGCCTTGTAGTGTTATATTTAAAGAGCCGACGAAACGGTTTTTCCAGGCCTACACGTAAACGGCTTTGGGTTTATACCGTTGCTCAGAGCCATCAAAGAAGTAAATAACAGTCACAATCATGGAGAAATATTCGTTGTTTGTTTTAAAATAAGATGTTGTCGTTTAACTGACTGTATACTCAATGTAAACAATGATTTCGTATGAAACGATGAGGTTCATCAGTTGTATTGCATCAGAGAATGGTGATTGTACATGTTAACACTATCCTACTGTATCTTAGTATGTGATTAATGTTACACAATCTGATTTGATATTCTATGAGAAAACGACATTGCACATAAAAACATTACCGTTACCTTAACTTTTCCTTTGATGGCCTATCTCACGAGGTAAAATTTCCTTCTCGGTCTTACCGGAAGTAAATATTCGTTAATCGACCTGTTCGGAACGCATCGGTTGAACTTTTATTTCCCCGCCAAATACGAACTAGAAGCAGACGGTCAAAGGAAAATCTGGCGTTTTATATGCTGTGTTGTTTTTTTTTATTATAAGATAACATTAAAGGGTATTTCGATTTAAACATATTTGGTTTTGTAAATAAATAAATTGACTTTCATCTGAATATAGAGGCAGTCATGCCTGCATTCAGATATTTAACAACTAAGTTAAACTGAGGATTGATGGCAAAATAAAAAAAAAAAAAACAATAGTTTTTAACATGTGAATTTAATAAACTTACAGTAATATGCAGTTGGCTATGCATTCTACAAGCCTTTGATAATAAGACGATACTGGCGGTTGGGGCGCGGGTGGATTGCTCAGGAAGTTTTGGAACGAAATCAAGATGGCGACCCTTAACAACCCCCACCCAAAGCTCCCACCCCCTTAACAACCCCAGCAGCCCCTCCCACACCCACAACACACATACATTTTGTCATAATTTGTCATACTTTTGACATGATCTGCCATATTTTGTCATGATTTTGTGGTATTTTGTTGCGATTTGTCATACATTTGTCATAATCTTTTATAATTTTTTTAGATACACTTGTCATTATTTATCATATTTTGTCACAATTTGTCATCATACTGGCAATCATTCGTTTCGCTGTAGAGAAGCGAAGACGAAATATCAGAAACATTAGAAGCATCACGAAAGAATTGAAAATATAGGAATTCACATCGGATAGCCCTCATGTTCTCTCTCTCTCCATCATCTATCATCTTCTTCATCTAGATTTCAAAGCAGATACAACATTTAGGCCTTTGGCCTAGAAACAGGTCGTCTTTTAAGGAGTTATGGGTTCCCCTCGAAACGGAAAACCACCTTCATTTGGATTCTTCTGATGGAGTATTTGGTAAGTGATATCTCCAAGACTCTTGCATGGGTTAGTCTCACCGACAGACACAGTCTCACATTTCTCACGTTTAGGCAGATGTCCTTGATGCCCACCTTGATCTCGTCTGATTCTCCAATGAGACAGAAAAAAGTGCTCGCTTCTCGTAAAGGTATAACACTTCAGGTGTTCATATGCGTATTGAAATGACAAAAGTTCAACAACCCAAGTTCCAAAGGTTCGAAGTTTTATTTAACATAATTCACCAGGTATGGCTCCACGAGAATAACAACAGGATACGTTACAACTATAGTAAAACAGTGGACCGACGACCCGTCACACTGGTGTATAACTAAGTAATTTTCTTGGCGAAAAGTTCGAAAGTTCCTATAACATTTTAGGTTTCATATGGCCGAATGTGAGTAGCCGGAGACCGCAGGTTGGCGTCAGCAAAGGTTCTCCGAGCTGACTAACTCCGCAAGTCTCCAAGGCTGCTTTTATAATATCTGTGACATATGAATGTCAGCGATTGGTCAACTCCCCTGCCCACAACATTCCAGCGGGAGTCAGCATACCTGTACTGCCCCAGGTCGGCTGACCTGTATCTATACAATCAAATTGTGTAAATTGAACTTAATTGATTTGTATTAATTGATACTTTGACCATCTTGAAATGGTACTCTATTTGGCTCTTGACCAACTGCCACGTACGTTCATTCTTTCTACCCATCTATTTTATTAGCCTGTGTTATCTCCATGGTCCATTATCGTCCAGTTAACCCATTACCCTAATGCACAATACACACCGTATTAGCATTGTTTACGCTACCACAGGAAAACATGATTATGTTGCACTAATATATATAATATAGAATTCATATCTTGAAATAGTAATGAAACAGGATCATGTAATGATCATGTAATCATTACGTAATAAGGCCATTGTGTTACAAAGGTAATCTTCATGTTCACGTTGGTGATGAGATATTTTTCCTGAGCAAATAAGACAGAATGGAGTCTTCCCATCAATTCGACAGTTCGACTGGTTGCTATCGACAGTTTCCTCTTGACGAAGCCGTGATAATCGTTTCCTGCTGTATCCATCTTCGAGGCTGTAACATTGTACCACAACTCACTCGTCAGCTGAGAATCTTTGGCTGCAGGACCATAGCTCGGTAGCGTTTCAAGATAAGCTCTAAATGAATATATAGTGTTGTGTGACGAAACGAGGAAGATGCCAGTATCCTTCCACGCTGGTTTGAGTAGGCTGCGCAGTGAATGAATCCAATTCAGATCTAAGGACACATTTAAACGAATGTACAAAAGCCACCCTTAACGAAACAATAAACGCCCCCTCTTCTTCTAACAAATCACAAATTCAAGCCAGAATGGCTTGTTGTCCAACGAATCCCATTCCAAGAAT